GGCTAAAAAAGCACCTAAGGCAATCCAAGCTGATGCAGAGAGTTCATTTGTTTCAGTCCACTGACAGAAGAAAAAGGGTTATTTTTCTTAACCATTAAGAACTGTCAAGAGGTGATCAACAAATCATTCTTGTCAGACGTTTTACAACAAACTATCAGAGAAAAATAAAGAGGAAAAAAGCAGCTGCTCTTTCTATATAAGATAATCATCCACTGTAGTGTGTAAAATATTACAATAAAAAGAGTCACTCCACTTTAGCTGCAAGTCAGCAAGTCAATCTTTTGGATATCAAACTCGTGATTTTCTTTTTAATATTTATGAAAAATTATTATTATAAACCAGAATCTGTGTGTTTATAAAATGCCATTATATAGAGTAGGGGCTGCCCAAACATTTTCCCTGAGAGGGCCAAAATTAAAATCAATCTGAGGGTCGCGGGCCAAATGCAATAACATAAGAAATGCAAATACTTAAAGTTGTTTTATTTTTTTACGATTAAGCTAGCAGCCAGTGTGGTTGCCCACATTCTTTATTTATTTTTTTTCAGCCCATGAACATGGAGAAATTTCAACGTATGCTCAGGCAGCAAAGACTCATGAAATTTTTCACAATTTAAAATTTGAGTATATGTGGTCTTATAAGGTGTGCAAATCTAGATATAGACTTCAATCTAATCTAAATTTCTCTTGTAGTTACTTGTATTTTACATTTAATCTTAACATAATTACAATGTAGTAACTGCTGGTGGGCCAAATCAAATGGCTTGGCAGGCCAATTTTTGGCCCGCGGGCCCCACTTTGGGCACCTCTGATATAGAGTCAAACACTATGAGGCAACAAGCTTTGACCTTGAGCAAACATCTGGATCTGTGCCACTCACCGCTCTCCGCTGCCCGCTTGAGGTTCTCCACCATGGTGTCGTAGTGGATCCGACACAAGACCTTCTCCTCGACCAGACCGAACTCCTCTCCTGTGGACAGCTGCCTCTTGCACGAGTAGCACGCAAAGCAGGCCAAGTGGTAAGCGTTTCCCCTCGCACGGCGCACCCAGTCGCTGGCGTAGATCTGCCGCCCGCACCGGGCACACTTAGTACCAAACCTACTGTGGAGGAGAGAAAAGGGAGAGCAGCGCAGGAAGAGGAGGAGTAGGAGGAGGAAACAGAATGAGAGATGAGGCCTAAAAAGCAATATTTGCTAGAAGAAAAATATTTTAAATCAAAGCAGTCAGGACTAAAAAGCAGCACAGTTGTATCAAAGTGTTAAACATTGCCTCTATGTTTCAGCATTTATATTGTATTCAGTAAAAAAAAAAAAAGCAAAGCACACTAACTTCCTTTCCTTATCTCAGTAGTAAAACTAGGTTTGCAGCGTGTTTTTTTAAACTTCTGTCATATTTCAGTCTTTAAGAGACCTTGGAGGAGGATAAAGCTTTCAGAAAGGGACTCCGGAGTGCGGCTGCAAGCCGAGCCTTGAATGCAAACAAACCAACACCTGCAATTTCCTGACTGATCCGTGAAGGCCCTGACACACACACACACACACACACACACACACACACACACACACACAAACACACACAAACGGTATAATCTTGGTTGCTTATACAGTAAAAGATGAGGAAATACTCTGACATCATTGTAGATCACAGGCCAGTAACTGATACAGTCTAAACCATCTGATTTACTGTTCTGGGCTGGAGCCTCGACGGGTTGAAGGACGTGGAGYGAAAGCATGAACAGCCAGCAAATTACAGTAAGAGAAGGACGAAGAGAGCAAGACAACGTTAACTTGTTACAATCATCAAATGCTGTGAAACACGAAGATATTAAAATAAATCACTGTGTTTAGGGGTGTGAATGTTTTATTAGTCACTAAAAGTCATGAGAATAAGGGCAGAGAGACTAATGATCACTTAACTAATGAATTTGTATTCCTTTTGCTGTATACCTAAAAAAAAGCTGAAATAGCCCAATAGTTTTAAAAAGTATAGCTGAAATAGCTAGAATTGGCACAAACAAACTTAAAGAGCGCAACTTTGCTGAATTAAGCAGTAAGATGCTGAAATTACCAAAATGTGAATTTAGCTGAAAAAGCTCAAATTAGACAAAAAGAAGGCAAGAAACACAAAAAACAGCTGAAATTGGCAGAAAATGCTTCAAATCGCTGAAAGAAGCAAAAAAAAAAGTTTCAATTGGCATAAAAAATAGCTAAACTGCTAAATAGAAGCTGAAGGAAGCTGAAATCAGCACAAAGAAATAAAAAAAGCAGAACCAGAAAAAGTAAAATATGCAGTAAATATTTAGGAACWTTTTTGAATAGACAACTCCGATCCTTTTCATTTTCAAAAAGAAAAAAAAATGGCAGAAGCAGCTGAATGAAATAACCAGAAGATATAGCTGAAAAATCCTGAAGGAGCTGAAAGTTTTGATATATAAATTGTTAAAAGAGCACAAAAGTTATGGAACAAAACGTGTGCCAAACAATGTATGAAATAAAACATTAGCTCAATTGAATGCTTTCATACAGTTACACTAATTCGGTCTAAAATGAGTAAAAAATGGTTTTGTTTTGAATATTTCCCATTAAAACAGGATAATGTCTCCTTGTAATTTGCCTGTTTACTGTCCCTTAATATGCTTTGTTTCATTTTTACAGCCACAAAGTGTAGTTTTTCTTCTTTTTTTATTTAACTGAAGACCAAATGTTTTAGAAAGCAATGCAATCAAACAAACTCCAATAATACTGTAGCCTGGAGACAATAGTGGACATTTATGATAAAAAAAAACGCCTGTTTGCAGAACTGATCCATCATTTAGTTTGAGCTTTTTATCAGCTGCGTTATAACCTGTTAAAACACTGAATATGGCCTCTTAACAGCTGACATTTTGCAGTGTCCACATAAATGCCCACTTTAGGACATCTAAAATATGACACAAATCCCCCTGTTTTACACAAGAATAAAAATGAAAGATTGAGCACCGATTTAAGATGCACATGATGGAGTTAAATGGGTGCTTCAGGGCTGAGATGGTGCGGATTAGGCTGAAGCCCATTGTTGAGGTCAGCAGCAGCTGTCAGATCTGCTGAAGGGAGGCTGGGGTTCGTAGGGGAGCGAGGYATCAACAGGCACCTTCTGCTGCACTGTGCCACCACATTTCTGTTTTATTACTGAAATCAGACGCATGTTTTGACTCGTGCATCTGTTTTTAGTTCGTAGTGAAGCTCCCCCACACACACACACACACAACACGAGTCAAATTCAAAGTGAGAGGAAATAACCAGAGCACAGACATCCAAGGGGGAAGGTAAGTGACGGAGGCAAAGAGCTGTAGAGCTGCAGGGAAGTGGCGATGTGGGGAACATCAGTGTGTGTGTGNGCACTCAAGTCCACTCTGTCTGGAATGAAAGCACACTACAACCCCGACATCAAAAAGCTCTCCTCATGTGTAAGAGCTGGAGGTTTCATTTTTATGCATGCTGCAGAGGAGAGATCAACTGTCTACAGTTTAATAAAACTATTTAATAAACTACCTTTGAATAAAAACGGATCAAGTGATTTTTTTTTCTGTTTAGCTACAGTAAACAAACGAACCTTATTAGCCAGTAAAGTTGTTCCAGGAACAACCCTGATTGTTTTTGTCTCGTTCTTACAGTAAAAGAAGAAAACATTGTGACTAACCCAACATGACAGCTTGTCAGTTTCATGCTGTGAGACAGAACCCAGAAAAGCTGCAAATCATCCCTCATTTTAACCTCCCAACTGCTCTGTCTTCATCTACAAAAAAAAAAAAAAACAATGTTTATGTTGGATTGATTTCAATCTGAATGCTTTCTTTATTTTATCCCTTTATTTCCCATTTAGTGTTTTTTTTATTATTACTATTTTACAGAAATTCACCTGCTGCTAAAAAAATATTTGAAAGGAGGTTCATATTTTCTGAATTATTTTTGATGGGCTAGAAAATCTACTGATCTCTATTAGATTTGTCCTTTTGACTGTGGTTTTATGGTGCAAAGTTAGCTTTAAAGCTTCATTTGAAGGGAAAACAGGGGGAAGATAAATAATACACTTTACAGGTTTTTATCAACTTATCATATTTACCAGACTATTGGACAACATTTTCCTCCTGCAGTTTAATAAATATATTAATATGCAGGTTTCAGTTTGACTTTGCGCAGCTTTAACCCCGAAATGAACCCTTTGAGTCTTTTCTTCGTCTGTTTTTCCTGCATGAATAAAACATTTCACTTTCGATTTAACCGCGTTGAACTGCGTGACAGATGTCGCATTATGATTTTAATTCACTCGCTTTCTTAACAAAAGTCAAAAACCCGTTTCAGCCGCTGCTGGCTCCCGTTGCCATGGAAACCCCATCAGTTAAACCAGAGGTGGGGTTAGGTGCACGGATAATCCTAATTTGAGGAATGACGGGCACAAAGAGGTTCCACTTTCTTTCTTTTTTTAAACGAGAGTGCTGCAACGTTCAGTACCTGCACGGACTCTGGTTACAGCAGTGTCCCAGGGAGCCCCTGATTAGTGCAGAAATGTAACTTCCTGTGTGGCCTGCAGCTCACAGACGGGGATGATGTTTCTATGAGCTGAAGCAAGGAGGAGGAGGGGACTGGGGGCAGAGGCTGATAAAGAAACAGTTTTAAATGTGTGTGTGCGTGTGTGATCAACCCCCAAGGCCTGACACTAGTTTGAGGGGCACAGCAGGGACTCTGTCCTGCAAAACCCTCCATCCCAAAACTAAAAAAAATAAAAATTAAATAAAAAAATAATACCTGACGTACCCACCCGGCCCTTCTCCGGCACACATACACACAAACACAGAGGGAAACCCGCTCTGATTTCCTGCTATTACGCCCCATTAAAGCAGCTGTCAGTCCAAAGCCAGATGAGAGGCTGACACAGATGAGAAAACATCTCCAGACTGAAAGCAGCCCTGAGGAGCCGGACTCACAGCGGTGTGTTCAGACCAGTTTCAATCTGCTTTAAACCCAGATTGCAGTTTTTTTTTATTTACTGAACAGCACAAACCTGAAGCCTGCAGCAGAGTCCGGCTGTTGCTGCTCCTATAAGGCCTTTTACTGTGACGAGGAGGCATTTTTCACATAACATTAGACTCAGTGTGACCTATGCAAACTGTAAAATCCATTTATTATGTCTTTGTTTACATCTCTTTGTGTTTTTTAACAGTTMAAATCAGTGAAACTATATATGTTTTGTCTGTAAATCATTTCCAAACATTTTTAATCTCACGGGGCTGTAAGTTTCAACACATTACAAATAAATCAGTAAACACAACTCAAGCCATCTTAAGTCAACTCTCATCCGCATTTGAACTAAATAATAATTTAACAAATTTAACAAGATGAATTACTGAATTTATCATAAAGGCCAAAATTGACAATTCACTACACAGCATAATTATTTCATCAAACACACGAAATACAGTAGTTAAGTCGAGCTTTGTGGGATTTTATCAACTCTCAAACAAACGATCTGCTCTGCACCATTTTTTTCCACAATAACCTCAACGTTGACATTTTTTGTGTGGTTGTAACACAGATTTAGAGTACATCAGTTAAGAGTTCAGGTCTGAAGGCATGGAAAACAGTATTGCAACTGCTGAACAAACACATGGGTTTTCATTTGTGGGGAAACAGCAGAATGATTGGCAGCTGCTAGACTCGCATAAATAAACAGAGATCTCTGTGGGTGAGTGGCTGTTAGTGGAACACATAAATGCAAATGACTGCTAAAACACGTTTAAATGTTTTTAAATTCACACTTTCGTATTCAATACGTTTAATGTGAGTCCAGGCTGAAGTGTGCGGCTACGCGATTTTGTGTGTGAAAGTTTCAGCTCGAATAAAAGTCACATTCACGTCAGGGACAGGCTCACCAGACGCTCGGGGCCGTCTAATTGCTGGTCTGGAGGCCTGTGGGTCTGGGGTGCGGGGCAACTAATTGCTGGTGATTATAAACCTCAGAGTACTGGCCTGGTGTCAAGTTTTAATCAGACAAACACTAAAGATAACACACGCACACACGTGGGCACGCACTCACACACAACAGTGTAAAGCAAAAAAATGATACACACCTCCTTCAGCCCTCTGAACACAATATTACTGTTGCTGGTGTGAACCCGGCTTAACCTCAGGTAACACACACACACACACACACAAACACAAACACACCGTTCCACACCTTTACAAAACCTTTACCCATGAATACCC